AAAAAAATAGGGATTTTGAAAAATTTGGGTCGGCGGGTAATGCTAAACGAAAAATCAACTTTGCATGGCCTAATAAAAAAAACTCCTCTCGTAAACTTTACTCCGAATCTCTTTCTTAAATTACAAAAGATGCCGAGTAAGTACGTCAGGACCCCAAATACTTTTAAATTTCCAAAAATATGCAATTCTAATTTAAGCTTTATCTGACTGTTGTATTAAATATAAATAAAGGACCACGTAAAAACCCTCCTCGAAATGAATCAAGATTAATTGCAGAACACTATAAAGGTATCACTTGTTGTTTTGAAAAACATCAAAACAAAATCGACCGAAATTAAATATTTTCATTGGTTATTACCAGCCAAAATGATATAATTTTGGATGCTACGTATACTTGCCAAATTACTATAGTTTGAATTTGTCTGCGCCAAATTCAAAATCCATCCTAAATTAGTATCTCAAAAAAACTCTATTAATAATCTTCGTTTAAACAAATAATATTTATTCTTATAAAATATTAAAATCACCTGTTTGATCTAATATTTTATAAATAGAAATTGTTTTTTGATATGCATGATGGACAGGTTTTGTACCAACATTGAGAGGTTATCAGATTTGAAAACATTATAAACTAGATTTATATAACGGAAGCGGACTTGATAGACTAATTTATTATCAGATTTGACAGGTTATCGATTTTGAGAGGTTCATCAGAATGCATAATTAATATACGTAAGCAATCTTTAAGATATACCTGTTTATTACAGAACAAGGAACTTATATTTTTGTTCTTGAAAATCCTGAACCCGTATTGGAAAATACAATACCAGTATCTGCCTCACCGAACATTCCAAGAATTCCTAATATTAGTTCTCATCTGGATTTAAATGTAGCGTAGTTGATCTTGCTCCCAAAGCTAAGGTCAAGAAACCTTCAAGGCCTCCGAATGCTTTCATTCTTTATAGAAGAGAAAAACAGCCAGAACTTGTGGCTAAAAAAAAG